ATCAAATCTGGAACCAAGCTAATCTCTCTTGCTTCTAATTCTTTGTGGGAAGTATCAACACATTTCATATTTTTGATTGCTTCATCCATCTTCTTGAATCTTTCCTCATATTGCGAATAATGAACAAGGCTATTCTTTGGATTCAATTGGGATGCCCCAGAGGGTTTTACCATTTTCGACTCTTCAATCTGACAGCATGGTTGCTCTTTATCAATTATCTCTTCTTTATCAGATGTCACATACTGAATAATTTGATTTGATCCATCTGGTACTGAATCTGATATTTCTTTCCTTATATCCGGAGGTAACCTTGTCAATTGTTCTGGCCATTGATCTTGTAGTCCCTTATAAGATTGCTCCATTGTTTTCATGATGACAGTAAAGTAATATGAATGAATGACCTTGGTTTTACTGTTACAAAACCTTTCATTAATTATTAACATGTTTTTATAATTAAAATACATGACAGTACTTAAATAAAAATGTGAAAAATGCATAAATGGAAAAATAAGAATGCAAAATGTGCAATTCAAAGATATAAAAATAAAAATACAAAATGAAAATGCACAGATACAAAATGTAAATGCATGTATGAAAAGGTGTTACTTTAGAGTGATCATCTTAGAACAGATTTCATTGAACACAAAAGCTTCAGTACATCAAACAAAACTTTTACATGTAGGGGACTACTTTTAGTCCTAACTTCAACAAAACTTTACATATAGGGAATAACTTTCCCATTTTATTCTCTAAAACCAAGTTAGTTTATCAGCTTATGGACCATATAGCTTGTCTGAACTGCAACTTCTTCCATGACATTCTGGGGTTCTTTCATCTCCTATGTCAATTCTTGGAGTTGATCATTTTCCTTTGCGAGAGAACATTTGTGTTCAAAAAGTTTTTGGACAAAATCTTCATGTATGTTGCAACTCTTTTTCAGTTTGGTGACCCCTGCTATCCACTCTTCTGGGATGTTTCCTATACCAGCATTCTGAAAAGCTTGACTGACCTTCTGGAAGTCTTCATGTATGGTTTCCATTTTGGTGCTCAATTTATTGTTTTCAATCTTCAAATGACGTATTTGAGCTTCAAACCTCAGCAAATCTTCTTCTCTCTGGGCGCACCTACTGATATTCTTACCTTTGAAGACTTTTGGTATTAATCTATCAGGACCCTTGGTTACCAAACTAGGTCGATCATTTACCATAAATTGTAAGGTTCCATGATCCAAAAGACTTTGGACTCGGCGTTTGAAGGCAAGATAATTTTCGATAGTATGTCCTTGAGCTCCGGCATGATATTCACAATGAACGTTGATGTCATACCAATTTGGATACGGAGGTTGGAACGGTTTTATGTAATATGGAGCTATTTCTCGTGCTTCAAGTAACTTTTCATACAAATCTTTATATGATATAGGTATAGCATCAACATGAGAAACACCTTTTGTTTTGGATTGAACCTGAGTTTTAGACGTCGGGAGCAGACCAAACTTTGATGATTTCTGATTACATGATTTCTTCTCTTCTCTGGGAGCTTGTACAGTCGTCACCATTTCTTTGGTATCTCCATACGATTTGTGAATACGAATGATGACTGTCTGTAATTTCTCTAATTGGTTAGGAATCAAAATCCCTTGCGTATCTGAAACTGCAGAGTTAGATTCATTGAGCTCTCTCTCTTTCTGTGCTGGAATCTCTTTTCCTTTGGCCAACACAGATATTCTATCCATCATCTTGGACATCTGCTCTCTTATTTCTCGTATCTCCTCTTGCTCCTTAATGGTCATACGATCTTTGGGTGCATAGCTTGCTTCTATCCTCGGAGTTTCCTCAGAATGTCTTTCTTTGGCCGCATCATATTTTGTTTGATCATAAAACTTTTTGTCCATTTACGATTTCTTTCCAATATGATGAACAGTCTTTCAAGTAAACACCTTTTGGTTATGCTATGATCATGCAATGCAAACAAAAGAAATGAGAAAAAATAAAATAGTTAGTACCAACTAATGAAAAAAAAATCTATCTATCAAGGTATAAATCTTAACCTCATGCTTTCTAGTTCCATGCTTTGTTTGGAAAATTTAACCTAACCGCATGATTTCTAGTTCGCATGCATTTATTCAAGAAAATGAAATAAATTAAAAGCTAGAGCTTATTTCTCCTTTGTGTATACCTATTGACAAAAATTCGGCATGGTTTCAGATCGGGAGAATTTCTAGGGTTTATTATATGCAGGTTTTCAATTCTATGAGTAAAGGTACTCGAACTGTCCCTGTTGATGCCCCCTTGGACTATCAAACCCTCAATCCTAGTCCATTACAGACTTAAACGGACCGAGTTCAATTCGAGGGGATACATTTCTCTATGACTAACACGGAGAATAAATTCTCACGAAGACATAGAGCATATGAACCCCGAAAGTTACTTGCTAGGTCTGACACGGAGAATAAATTCTCACGAAGACGTTGCTTTCACTCCCACTTAAAAGGGACAAACTCAATTATAGAGTTTTATGTTATGCAATGCAAGTGTTGTATTTGAGGATAAATATTCAAACCTCTAACAGATAAATAAAATAATTAATACCTGAATAAAAAAACAATATTAATAAAAATAATAAATAATAAAAATTTGAAAGAAAAGAATTAAAAATTAAATAAATGAATTTTTAATTTCTAATTAATAGAGACAATTTATAATTAATTTTAAAGTTTGACGTCCCCAGCGGAGTCGCCAAGCTGTCGTAACCGGTTTTCGTCCGGGGACGAATTTTTTACTTGGCGGGAAAATTGAAGTGAATAAACGGTTTTGAAAATAATTTAGGAGTCGCCATCGGCCTTTTGGGTCAGGTAGGTCGAATACCTAAAAAAATATTTTTTTTAAAAGAGTTTTAAGAAAACATCAAATAAAAAATGAACTGATCTGCGTTTATAACCAAAAATTCGTTCTTTTTAATAATAAAAAAGGATTCGTGTCGGTTACGTTTAGGGAAGGATTAGCACCCCTACAACGCCCAAAAATTGGTACTTTTTAATTATAAATTGTCTCTATTATTATAAATTTAAAAAATTCAAAATATATTTAATTTATAATACTATTATTTCAAAATTATAAAAAATATTTAAAAAAATATGAAAAGGACTTCTAGGTGCCTTAAGACAGCTCTTTTCTTTGATATTTAAAGAAAGAAATAAATGACAAACATTTTTTATGACAAAAATTTATTTTAATATAGTAAGATATTTATTTATTCAAAAATATCAGAAAATGGCTTCTAGGTATCTTAAGACAGCTCTCTTCTTTGATAAAAATATATTAAAATTTTAATATTTTAAATAAAACTAAATTATAATTTTTATAATATTTAATTATTTTAAAATACCAGAATAGGACATCCAGTTATATTAAGACTGCCCTTTTCTTTGATATCGAAAATAAATAAACATTATTATTAAAAATATATATATATGATTAAGATAATAATAAAATAATAATTAAAGCAATAATTAAAATATAAAATTAATAACAAAATAATATTGTAATTAAATAATGATCAAAATAAAAGAAATTAAAAAATTATAAAACTAAATATAAAGTATTAAAAATAAAGATAATAATTCGAAATATTATGAAAGATAATGATTAATAGTGTAATTTAACCTAATTAATTAATAAATGATTAAAATAATAATTAATAAACTATGAGGGACTAAATTTGATATTTTCCTAAATATATATAAATACAGTTAATGGTTAAAATATAATAAAATAAAATTTAAACACTAAATTAAAATGATTAAAAGTCAATTTCAGTGACTAAATTGCAAAGTTACAGAACTATAAGGGTTGCGGAAAGGGTTTACCCTTTCTTAAATTACACAGATACCCTCCCCAAAACGACGTCGTTCGGGGGAGGGTTTATAAAACCTAAACGCCTGGCCCGAAGGGCCAAGCTTTCCCATTTCTTTCTTTTCTTTCTTTCTCTGAATGAGAGAACCAGAGTTCTCTCTCTGGTTTCTCTCTAGTTTCCCTCGCCGGAGGGAAACCGGCAGCCATAGGCCACCGTACTCCGCCGCCGGCCACCGTAAACGGTGGTCGGAATTTACTAAAAACACCCCCAAAGCGTAGATCTAAACGTCCTAAGGTCCGATCTAAGGTTATTTTAACCTAAAACCCTATAATATATCGTAAATCTACGATTTTCACCTTCGGTATTTCGGTTCTCCGGTGACGTTTGGGGTTCTCCGATGACAGAGTAAGTTCCTCTGTTCTCTTCTTCTTCTTTTTTTTCTTTTCTTTGCTGGATGTCCTCGTTTCTCTCGTGTTCTCCGTTGCTCTCTGTCCTTCCTCCCGTTTTTTTTTTCAGGTTCAGTGGTGGCTTTTATAGCCACCACAGTGTACTCCTCGGGCCGGTCCCATGGGTAGCATCTTTGGTGAGTCACCAAGCTATGGCGGTGACTCACCATAGAGCACTGATTTGGTGAGGCAGCTGGCTTCTGGAAAGCTCGACGAGGTCGGCGTCGTGGAAGCAGCAGCGTCGGCAGCAACTGGTTGGACCATCTGGCATCAGAGAGTCGGTCGTCGGGGTGGCTTCAGGGGTGGCGCCGCGTCTGAAAGCTAGGGTTTAGAAAACCCTAGCAGAATGTTACAAACCCTAAAGGGTTTGGGTTCTGCTGGGCCAATTATAATCGGGCCCCAATTTTGGGCTTTGTAATATTTTTATTATTATTATTATTATTTTTTTATTTAATGATAATAATATATATATATATAATAATATATTTTATTTAATAATAATAATAATTAAAATAATATAATGAAAAACTAGTGTCTACAGGTCCCATGGTCTTTCTGAACAGTCGTTGTTCAATTCCTCAAAGCGAGCCCTGGTCAGTGGCCGGGAGAAATCAATACCATCAAAAAGTGATTCAATCTCCACGCGAACCTGGTGCTGGCTGCTGAGAGCTCTCTTGACGCTCAGCCTCCCTCCTGAGCTTCCCAAGAACCCTGTTATCCTTGCTGATATCCTTTCCATGCTTTTTCTTAATCAGTTTAATAAAGTATTTCATAATCCTCTGGTCAAAATCCTCACCTGCAAGAAAAATTACCATAAGCAAAACTCGTAATAAAAAACAACTTTTAGAAACCAAAAACAAGAACAATGCTTACCTCCCAAATGAGTGTCTCCATTTGTTGAAAGAACCTCAAATACACCATTGTCAATTGTCAGGATACTGACATCAAATGTCCCACCACCAAGGTCGAAGACAATAATGTTTTTCTCACCACCTTTCTTGTCCAATCCATAGGTAATTGCGGCTGCAGTTGGTTCATTGATAATCCTAGCCACATTGAGCCCAGCAATAATGCCAGCATCTATGGTGGCCTGCCTCTGGGCATCATTGAAATATGCTGCAAATCAAACAGAGATGATTTGAGCATCATAAAGGATGACAAACATAATCATTTTTTCCAAAACGAGAACATTGTTTCTTATAATGCACTCACCAGGAACAGTAACCACTGCATTTTCTTCCCAAGGAAAGCTTCAGCTGTTTCCTTCATCTTAGTTAGAACCATAGCACTGATCTCCTCAGGGCTGAAGACCTTGGTCTCTCCATCCTTAATCTTTACTTGGATATAAGGCTTTCCATCCTTGTTCACAATCTTATATGGAACAAGTTTCATGTCCTTCTGGACCTCCTTATCATCAAACCTGCAAAGAACAAATATGTCTCATTAAGCATTAAGTCCCAATCTACCCCAAAAACATCAAACAAGAAACTTGAAAACACCGACATCAATCAGCCTCACCAAAGATAGTTCTCTCCGCATTCACAGCTGCCTGGTTCTTTGCAGCCTCACCAATCAGCCTCTCACTGTCGGTGAATGCCACCCAAGACGGTGGTAATACGGTTACCTTGGTCATTGGCTATGATTTCAACATGACCTTACTTGTAAACACCGACACAAGAATAAGTTGTACCGAGATCAATTCCAATGACTGTCCCCAATTTATTGGCTTCCTCCTTTGCAATTGAGATTGCAAAGAAACATCCTGTTTCAAAGCTTACCCAATTTTAGTACTTAATACCATTAAATGCAATCGTGGTGTTTGATTACCACATGATTCAAAGTAAACTACTACCGAGTTAGAAATCAATAGCAGAGAAAAGAAACTGGTCTCCGCGGCCAAAACGATAGTTTCAGCATCTTTCCATTTGTGCATTAAGCTATAAGATCTCAATCAATAAATCTACTTTCGATAAAGTTGTATAAACTGGTTACTCCACATGGCAAATTGTCGATGATAAAAATATTCTTATAAATATACATTCTCGTGCACAACATTAACAATTCTAAATTAAGATATTGCACCAAAAATAGAAATAAAGTGAAACATAAGATGTTTTATAATAAATTAAAACGTCATTTTTAGATGAAAATTCTAATCAAACGAATTAGCTTGTCACTCAATCTATAAATATTTAGATTTCTAATACTCGAATCAATGCAGAAAAATCGGACGATATGAGATTGTCGAAACTCTAATTCACGAACGAATACATCACTAGAACCATGGAATCTTAATCAGATTCAAACATGCACGAAATTTACGTGAAATTTACGCACAATCAAATAATGCTGAGTATCATGTCGCACGATAAGGTTTTCCTCTATGTGCACGTTGGCCAGGCTAATGAATCCTGAAAATCTCGTCTGTTTCGCCGACGTTCAAGTCTTTCTTCTTACTGTTTTCATCAATTATTCTGGGTGTTCTATTCTTTCTGTTCTCTTCGATGGATTGGAGGAAGTTGTTCGGTTGTTCCGAGGGACATGATTTGGTTTTTCACCCGCCTAGGGTTCAGGATGGGGCTATCTCTGTTCATCCCCCTTCTGAGGTGTTTGATGTTGGGATTGAAGAATGGAAGTTGTCTCTCGTTGGTCAATTCCTCGGCGCTGCACCCAATTTCGCCTCAATGCAATGCATCGTCGATAATCTATGGAGGAGGGCTCTGGGGGCAGCAAAGTTCAGGTCAGTTTCGCAGGAAACAACCTTTATGTTTTTCTTTTAGTTCAGAATCAAATAGAGATTGGGTACTTGAAAATGGACCCTGACATATCCTTAACAAACCCCTAATTCTTAGGAAGTGGGAACCCAACTTGAAAAGGCTTCAATTTGACCTATCTCGTGTTCCTGTTTGGGTTCATCTCTTTAACGTTCCTCTCGAACTATTCTCTAGAACTGGCTTGAGTTATATTGCTAGCGCCATAGGTTCCCCTATCTCTATGGATACTGTAACAGCTGCCAAATCTCATTTGAAATATGCCAAAGTTTGTGTTTAAATAGGCGTTAATGATATTATCCCCAAATTCGTTGAGGTTATTCTTAAGGATGATAAAACCACCTCTGTTGTGGTTGAGGTGCCTTGGTTCCCTGTATCTTGTAGGAAATGTAGTGTCTTCGGCCATAGCGAGAAGAATTGCATTTCTCTGAAAAATCAACTTCCTGTTAAACGACAAGTTTGGAAAAAGAAGGAAGTCTCTAGCTCTTCTTCAGTGCCTGGGCCTGTTGTTGGAGGCATTGAATTATTGCAAGAGTTTGAACCTAATGTACATACCACAGTTGTAAAAACCTTTAAACATCCTATTGATACTGTTGATGTTGTTATAGAATCTACTGTTGATGATTCTGTTGATAAAGTTCAAGATACAGAAGCTCCTATCTGTGTTTTTAGTGAAGGAAATGATTCAACTCATGCTAAAACATCTGATGTTCATTCTGTTGATTGTTTACCTAACTCACAGACTTCTAACTCAAAGAGAGGTAGGGTTAGACCATAAAGAACAAATCCAAACTAGGTCTATCTGAATCAAATAACAGATTTGCAGCTCTTAGTACTGCTGATGAAACTTCTATTGCTCCTGAAGGCCAACAAAAGAAAATTAGGCAAGCTTCCTTGGGAGTAGCCAACATTGTTATTGACCTGAAACAGAAAAAGAAAGACAAGTTAGTCAAATCAAAAAATTCTGAGGTGGATGGAGGTGGAGGTTCTCTTATTTCCCTTCCTCAATGATCTGTGGATTCTGGAATATTAGAGGACTCAATTGTCCTCATAAACAAGCTAGTGTTTTTAGAAGAGCTAATTTAAATAAAATTGATGTCATTTGTCTGTTAGAAACAAGAGTGAAAGCTGACAAGTCTCTGAATATTCTTCAGAACAATTTTGCTAATTGGAATGTCTGTACAAACTATGACTATGCCCATAATGGTAGAATATGGATCTTATGAAGAAAGGGCATAGACTTCACTTTCTGCCATGCCTCTAATCAATGTATCACCATCAAAGGCTCCCACTCTAGTATACCATTTATCATCACTGCAGTGTATGGTAGCAATGATGGTAGAAACAGAAGACATCTTTGGCAGCAATTAAGGGATTTGAACAGAAACTTAGGTCACTTGCCTTGGATAATAGGAGGTGATTTTAACATTATTTTGAATTCCAATGAGTCTTCTGATTTTGAACTGCTTGGTCCTTCTTCCTCCTTAGATATGAGAGATTTTTAGGATGTCATATCTGATATTGATATTTTTGATCACCCCTTTTTTGGACCAACAAACAACAAAATTCTTTCCTTGCCAGGAAACTTGATAGAGTCTTCATTAATCACCATTGGGTTAATTCCTTTCATTCTTCCCATGTTGAGTTCCTTGCCCCTGGAATCTTAGACCACTGTCTGGCTCTTCTCTGGATCCACAAAGAAGTGTAAGCTAATAGACCAAAACCCTTCAAGTTTTTTAACTTCTGGGCCCATCACTCAAATTTTCTTAATATTGTTGATAATTCTTAGCACAGTTCAACTAAAGGCAACCTGATGCAAAAACTTTTCTTTAAGCTCAAGCATTTTAAAACTCACCTAAAAGCCCTCAACAATTCTTTCTATAGGACCTTTCCACTCGGGTTAAGCTTAAGAAAGCTGAACTGGAACAGCAACAACTCAAAACCCTCAAGGGTGAAACTGGTTATGATCTGGAGATTCCCTTGCAAAAGGATATAAAGTCTCTTGAAGATGTTGAAGCTATGTTCTTAAAGCAAAAAACTAAAGTTCAGTGGATTCAAGAAGGTGATAAATGTAACAAATTTTTCCATTCTGTTGTTGCCCTGAAAAATAAAAGGCATACCATTAGGCTTCTTATTGATGATCAAGGGAATAGACTGTAAACTTTTGAGGCCATGTCAACTGAGGTGATCAATTTCTTCAAAAATTCTTTTAGAACTCCTGATCCTTTGGTTAATTTCTCTTATCATAATATTCTCAAAGACCTTCTTCAATCTTCTCTGCCTGCTGATATCTCGTCTGATCTTATCAAAGACATTTCTCATGATGAAATTAAACAAGGGTTCTTCTGTCAAGGTAACGACAAAGCTCCTGGCCCAAATGGGTACACCCCTCTCTTTTTTTAAAAAGCTTGGCCTATTATTGGAGAAGATGCCTCTGCTGCCATTAATTATTTTTCTAGGGAATCGTTCTTATTTCCAGCTTTTCATGCTACCACAATAGCATTAATTCCCAAAATTCCTAATCCTAGTAAGGTCAAAGACTTTAGACCTATCTCTTGTTGCTCGGTTGTGTACAAACCCATTTCTAAAATCTTGGTTAATAGAATGACCAGACTTCTCCCTGACCTTATTACTCTTAACCAATCTGCATTTATCAAGCGCAGATCTATTGTTGATAATACTCTTCTGGCCCAGGAATTAGTTAGAGGATATAACAAGAAGAATATTTCTCCTCGTTTCTCTTTGAAACTTGACCTCCACAAAACTTTCGACTCTCTTAGCTGGGATTTCATCTCTGTTGTTTTAAAGGCTATGGTTTCCCTTCTCTCTTCATCTCATGGATTGAAACTTGCTATTCTACTGCAAGCTTCTCTATTTCCTTAATGGGAGTCTTATTGGTTATTTTAAAGGCGCAAGGGGGGTTAGACAAGAGGATCCATTATCTCATTTCCTTTTTGTCCTCTTTATTAATGTTCTTTCAAAACTCTTGAACTTGGTTACCACTAAAGGTTTGATTGGTTATCATCCCAAATGCAAACGTATTGGTCTTACTCATCTTTCATTTGCTGATGATCTTTTAATCTTCTGCAAAGGCACTGTAGATTCTGTCATTGGGGTCATTTCTGTCCTTGATTCTTTTTATGAGATGTCTGACCTTAAATTAAATGCTTCCAAATGTGATCTGTTTTCTGCAGGCATTTCTCATTCTACTCTTGAGGAATTGAAAATGATTACTGGTTTTAAATTAGGCAGTCTGCCTATTAGATATTTGGGCATTCCTTTGGTCACAAGGAAAATTTTAGAAAAAAGATTGCTTTGCCCTTATTGACAACATTAAAGCTCGGTTGAATCTTTGGTCAGGGAAGACTTTAAGTTATGCTGGTAGATTGGAACTTGTTCAAACAGTCTTATTTAGTATCTCTAATTTTTGGTGTAGACAGCTTTTCTTGCCTTACTCTGTCATTAAAAAGATAGAGCAGTTATGTTCAAGATTCTTTTGGAAAGGGTCTGATAAGTCAGCTGCTGGTGCTAGAGTGAGTTGGCAAAAAGTTTGTCAACCTAAATCAGAGGGTGGCCTAGGCATAAAGGACATGAAATCATGGAACAAAGCTTGCAAGATGATTCTCATAAAAAAATTATGTATGGTGAAGGTTCGTTGTGGGTGGC